AACTCTTCCTCTCTGTGGCCAATCAGCCTTCAATATTTAAAGAGACAAAACTGGGGCACCTGGGTGGCTCAGTCCTTAAGCTAAGCGTCTGCCTTTGGCTCAGGTCGTGGTCCCAGGGTCCTGGGATTGAGCCCCACGTCGGGCTCCCTGCTCGGCGGGAAGCCTGCTTCTCCCTCTTCCACTCCCCCTGCTTGTGGTCCCTCTCTCGCTCTCTCTCTCTGTCAAATAAATAAAGATCTTTTATAAATAAATAAAGAGACAAAACATACAGTTTCAGGATTTTCTCTTTGATGTTTACTCTACGTTAAAGATTATAAAGATTTTCAAGTAAAATATTGCTACTGATCTTAAGAAAAATCCATCATGCAGAGCATAATTAATTTTTTTATAAAGAAAATTATATCTGGTACCATGACAACTTCAGCAAATCTAGTAATTATGAAATTAATATTAAATGTTAGAATATCAAAATAGAGAAGATAATTATTTTGAATATGCATAAAATCAACCTTACAACCTTAGTCTGATATTTATCATAATTCATTTTGCATCAGTTTAGATACCAGCTCATTTTCTCAGTCCTCCTATCTGTTTCTCACCAGGTTTCTCCAACTACTTCATCAGACCAGGCCTGCCATACTGAGGTTGGAATCACATAAAAGTCTTGAGCCCGAGAAGTGACCTCAGTACCCAAGGGACATTCCTTTTATTTGTGCCTCACATCTGTCCTCCAGTTAACTTTGACTTTTATTCATTCACTTAAAAATCATTACAAACCCACCATGCTATAGGCCTTGTGCAAGACACTGGAGATATGGAAAACAAGAAAAACATGTCCATGACTTCATGGAGGACAGTCCACTGAACAAATAATCTCATAAAAAGTTATAATTATAAATTATTATTAATGCTGTGAAAGAAAAGTATATGACTCCATGAAAGTGTAACAGGGAGACCTGCCCCCTTTGGAGGCTCAGAAAAAACTTCCCTGAGAAAGTGAAATTTGAGTCAAGACCTGAAGGATCATGATGAGGAGAGTTCCAAAGTACAAAGGAAACAGCACTTTTTCAATTCCAGACATGCTGGTTTCACCTTTCCTGAACTTTTATTTCCACCTTTGCTGTCTCTCGGCATTTTTCTCCTGAATTTTATTGTATCTAGTGACCAGCTCCAACCCTTCCTATCCCTGTAATAGTAACAACAGCTAATGTTAATATTGAGTTCATACTACTTGGAAGATATCATTCTGAGCAATTTATGTATGTGAACTCATCTAATCCTCACAGTGACCATGAATTAGGTCACATTTCCTCACTTTACAGATGAAGAATCTGAAGCACAGTCATAAGTTACTTGCCCAAAATTACACGCTACTGGTACTAGTCCTTGAATGTCCATCATCTCCCTTATAACCTATCACTCTTACAGAAACCCCAAGGTACCGAACTAAACTGGCACTAGTATTTAGGCAAAGAATACCAAGTCTCCTATACCCTCCAAACTGCTACCATCTTCAACTAGGCAGGTCATGCTTTTTCTCTGGTTTTCAAGAAATTATGAATGAAACATTGACCAAGGTGGCCTACGCTAAAACATCTCCAGGGAGAAAAATTTTTTTAGAATAAGTAATATTCTTATAAAAAGTTATTCACCAGATTATGAAATAATGAAAACTGGGCTAGGAGAAAGAGTTATAATTTATTCAATTCCTTCTGTACCTCCCAAGGAAGAGGAAGATAAGAAAAATTTTTATTTTCTTTTAATCCAAATTTGTAAAACTGTATTTGTTTTGTAAAACATGTATTTGTTTTGTAACAACATGTAAAAATCATGTTTTGTAAAACATGTATTTGCAAAACTAAATTAATATCCACTAAATTGGTTATGATGTAGAAGAAATTCCCAAAATTATTTTCTTTTGATAAGCAACTTTTAAATGATTAAAAAAAAAAAAAAGAAAGAACCATTAAATGACCAAGGCCTCACCGAAAACTACATTTAGATATTTTTTAAAATTCTTGTTATGATCAAAAGTTTCATTTATAAATTCACCATTGAAGGTGATATGAAAAACAGTAATCAAGTGGATGATTGATACAAGTGAGTGTATGACTCATAGTTTGCAAAGGAAAATAATTTTGGGGAAAAGGCTCAGGAAGAAAAGAAGCAAATAATGGATTCTGGAAGAAATCAAGACCTTTCCTGTCCAAGTACTGTCACCAGTTTTTATTACTTGAAGATTAAGGGAATAGTGAATAAAGCTGTCTGCCAGACAGCAGAAAAGGTAAGAAATAACATTGTCTCTAAATGTACCTCACATGAAAGTTTTCAGAAATAACATTTATAAAATTAAACTTTCTATAAAAAGTTACTAGAAAACCCAACTCAAATCAGAACAATGGAAATGTCAAAATAAACCAACATTATATTTGTCAGAACCTTGAACAAAATGAAACGTCAGGATAGGTCAAGTTGTAGAATCGTCTAATTTTATTCCACCTGGTTTTAGAACAAAGGCAGATCCAATACTGATTTTTAGGAGATTTTGTAGGGCTTGGTTTGTTTTTGTTTGGCTCTTTTTTTACTCTAAGTTTAATGTAAGATAAATATTTAGTTTTTGCTATTAGGGTTCAAAAAATTTATACAATGAGCTTTAGTTTCTGGTTCCAGAGGTCAAATTCAAGCCACTGAATTCAAATTGTTCCACTTTTTTACTAATTGTCCCTTCCCTCTCATATATATCTCAATTACATCATATATATATATTTATATGTACTTTTTTTTTTTAGGCTCACATTTAGGTATGGGTGTTAATTGTTAACCATGCATTATGAATCTTTACAGAAAATGAAGAGAATTTCATTTTGATTAAGTTGTATTTAACAAGAAGTTTTATCCAATTTAGTATTTTATTTACATTTTTGTGTATATTTTAGAGTCCCTACTACATGACAGCACTGAGCTAGATATTTTATACACATAATCTAATTTAAGAATACTGGGCTTACCTTGTTATATATATATATATATATATATATATATATATATATATATATATATATATATACACACTGCCTACGGATAAGGTAAACGAATATTTTTGTGATCAAGCAACCTAAGTCATATCACTGATGGCTTTCATATGAGCAACATCCAGCCATTCCAGCATACTTTATGCATATAGCTTAGAACTTAGTTCATAAAAACTGTCTGATCCAACTTAAAGAAGTCTCAAAAAAAAAAAAAATTAAAGGCTGTGTATGTCTGTGTGTATGCACACAAATGTGTGTTAGATGACTGATTCAAACCTAGGCAGTCCAATTATAAAATCTTTGCTCTTAACCACTAAGCCACTATATCCTGGAAAAGAAGAAAGGTGTGACTTTTAGAATGGAAATAACCGATTTAGGTAGTAATAGTACTTCTAAAATAAGAAACCATATTTCTGAAGTCAGTACACTAAGTATTAGCATTAAGTTATAAAAACACATTTGATGAAAATTTACTATGATAAAGATTTTTTTTTTCCTTTTGTAAATGTGCTTAATTTCCAGAAAGTTTCCAGCTTTGTCTTTTTGGATATTATATCACCTAACATTTTTTTTAATCTCTTTATAGAGTTTAAAGCAATTTTGTATCTAAAACTTTATATAATCCTGCCAGCAACACTAAATAAGGCAAGTATGATGGTTAATTGGATATGTCAACTTTGCTGGGCCACAGTGCCCAGATATTTCATCAAACATTATTGTAGATGTTTCTGTGAAGGTTTTCCTTGTTTTTTTTTGTTGTTTTTTTTAGATGAGATTAAAATTTAAATTACTATACTAAGTAAAGCAGATTACCCTCCATAAAGTGGGTGGGCCCCATCCAATTAGTGAAAAGCCTTAATAGAACAAAGACTGATCTCCTTGGAACAAGAAGGAATTCTGCCAGCAGATTGCTTTTGGCCTCAAACTGCAATTCTTACCTGGGTCTCTAGCCTGCCAGCCTACTGTGCACATTTTGGACTTACCAACCCTCTTTGAGATTCAATTCCTTGAAATCAATCATTCAATCTCTGCTCCTCCCCATACACACATACACACACACACACACACACACACACATATCCTGTTGGTTCTGTTTCTCTGAAGAACTCTAAATCAAATAGCAAGGTAGTTAAGAAGTCTAACAAAACAAGGAACAGGAATTCACATCCTCATTTTTGTCTCTAGTCATTCCTGAAAAGATACCAAAATTATCAAGAGTCTATGCTAGAACTCAGTTTTCATATCCAAACCACTCAGCCAGTGTCATGTTCTTTTTCTTTTAAAACTATTATTTGACAAAACTAATCAACTCTGCAAAACACTATGGCAGATCCTCAAAAAGTTAAGCATAGTCACCCATATGATGCAGCAATTCCACTCCTAGGTATATACCCAAGAGAAGTTAAAACATATGTGACACAAAAACTTGTATATGAATGTTCATAACAGCATTATTCACAGCAGCCAAAAAGTAGAAACACAAGTGCCATCAATTGGTGAATGCATAAAGAGGATGTCCATAAATGCCGTAGTTCAGGGAAAAAAGAAATGAAGTACACACAACAATGGATGAATCTACAACTTGGATGCTACAACTTGGATGCTACAACTTGGATGAATCTTGAAAACATGCTAAATAATACAAAGCAAATGCAAAAGGGCACATATAATATGAAGCCATTTATATGAAATGGCCAGATTAGGAAACTCCATACAGACAAAAAAAAAAAAAAAAGATTAATAATAGTTGTCAAGGGCAAGGAGAAGGTCAATGCAGAGTGAATGCTAATGGAATATAGGATTCCCTATTGGAGTGATGAAATGCTCCTGAATTAGATAGTGATGATTGTAAAACCTTGTGAATATACTAAAAACCACTGAATTGTACACTTTAAAATTGTAAATATTAAGAAAAGTGAATATCTCAATTTGAAAAGTGTTAAAAAACAATAACACTAATCAACTTACCTGGCCTTTTTGTGGTGCCAAACAACGAACAACTTCATCCACCATTACCGGAATATGTAATTTAGTCATGGCTTCGAAATCTCTATCTTGAGATCTGTGTATCTCCTGAGTTCCAGTTTGATCTGTTTGCTCCTGGGCTTCATATTCACTATATCTTTGTGCTGTATCGTGTATTTTTTTTGGCCAGACACCTAAATTAAATATGCCAGATTCCAACCAGCATGAAAGAAATTCTTTATAGATTCTACAAAAATATGGGTATCGAAGCATTCTGTAGGTCAACAAATCTAGAAAAAAAATTAAAAATATGATTGTTGATTTTTAAAATATACAATTTTATATAACTTTTTAATGTGGCCTGATAAGCTCTAAAACCATTAACGTTTTAATGATCAGGGATGAAAAATTGATCATTAAGTCATCATTTTTTGGAAATATACTTTTCTAACCTTAATTAACTCTAAAGAATGGATTCGGTGCATTAGAACTATTTATTTAGAAAAGTTATCTGGCGGGGGGTTAGGGGATGGGGTAACAAGGTGATAGGCATTAAGGAGGGAATGTGATGTATTGAGCACTTGTGAGCAGTTGTGATGTATATACAATTGATGAATCAATGAACTCTACCTCTGAAACTAATAATACACTATCTGTTAATTAATTGAATTTAAATTTAAAAATAGCTATTTGGATGATTAAAGGGATTACGAATATTATCCTATTTCAGGTTCAGGTGGTCTTTTATTTTAAGCTCTTCTATTTGTTTTTCTCATGTTAAAGCTTCATCTTCAGTTTAACTTTGTTTGAAAAATTGTCCCTGGAAAAAGATATGCATGTTTATCCAAAAAGAAATGAGGGTAAAAATCAGTTTGTGAAAATCTTGCAGACTTGTTATGAATATTCTCCTGATGAGATTATCTCACCATGGCCTCTATCAGTAAAGCATGTTCCAATTTAAATTATAACTTTATAAACACTCAACTGAGCATACTTTGGCATGCTTTGTGTGTCCCCGGCCCCCCCCAAAACAAGTAAATAAATAATTAATACATTCCTTAACTTTCTCACACTTGTTCTTTTTGATTCTGCAATCTGTAACTGTTTCAAATGCAGAGGAAAAAGTATTTATGAAATATAGTAACAGAAAACCTTTTGGAAACACTATGCTCTTTATATATTAGATTTTAAGCAACGTTTTTAATACTACTACAGTAAATACCAAGTTAACACTCTTCTTCCTTCCTTATAGATTATTGGTTATTTAAGAATAAGACCCACATCTTTATATCCACAAAAGCAGATGCACACTAGGTGCTTCATAAGTGTTTTCTGAAGAAGAAAAAAATAAATGAATGGATGGAAGGGTAAACTCTAGATTCTACAGAATATTTTTATCAAAACTTACTTTAGGAAATTTCACCTGCCTGACTGTACCAAAAACCACATTCTCAAAATGCTTCAAGAAACATAAATATCTCCCCCACCAAAAAAAACATAAATATCCTGCTTAAATATGCCTTCCCTTCCTTTTGCAATAGAAATGAAAAATGTTGAAAAGTTGATCACATGTAATGACTAGAAAAGAAATACATTTATATTATATAAATATAATATATAAACCAACAAAATGTTACCTTAAGGAAATGCCAACTTTACCTAAGACATAATCCACAGAATTATGTGGCAAATGTGACACAGGAAAAATATAGGAAAAAAAAAAAAGACTGGAAGTAAGTGTTTAAATAATATTTTGGATGTTCACTGGTGACAAGTTAGCCAAATTATTAATTGTGCCTCGTGTTGTTCAGAAAGCTTATACAAAGTAAACCCAACTACCCACTAACCTAGTGTTTGTAACATTTTTCAAAATAAAAGTTAACATTTACTGGACACTTACCAAATACTACTAAACTCATTCAATCCTTACCACACCTCTTAGAGGTAGGTAGTATTATTTCTATTTTACAGATGAGGAAAACAGAGAAGTAATTTGCCAAAAGGTCATATACCTAGAGAGCTATAAGGCTAGAACTGTAACTCCATCATTCTATCCCCAGAGCCTAAAATCTTATCTTAGCCTCTATGCTACAAACATAGACCACTGGTTCTATTTATTGCACCCATGTAATTGAATGGTACTTTAATTACACTGACTATATATTTGTACTATCTCATGAATTAGATCCTTTTTCTGTAAAGAACCAATATCCTATTACTTGGTCCTACTCCATTTGGAAATACAGTATAACAGAGGACATGCAATGTATAGGCCTAAATAGTGGAATGTGGAATATTTAAGCAGTCTACGCTGTATGTCCAGATATAAATATGTGAATCAATTCCAATACAGGAATCAAAACCACATAGGAAAAAGCAAGTAGAACAGATAGGGGGAAAAAATGCTTCTTTTGCTAGCATTTAACTCTTTTCTTCTGCATTCAATTTCTATGTATTTACTCAACTTTGTTCCAGGTACAAAGCCTAAAGATTTTATTATGCACTAATTGGCTACTAACGTGGGTCAACATGGAGAAAGGACTTCAATAATTTTCCTCTTTGGTGGTTTCCTGAATACCTCCCTAAGAATGGAAAGGGGCAAGCTCTAAATTAGGCAGTTCCATCCCTTTAGGCAACCCGGTCTCCTATCAGATAACCCTGAGCACTCCTGCAGCTGGCTCCGAACCAAGCACCCTAAATGATGTAAGGTAGTTTGTTTCCTCCGGTCACAAGAAGGAAGCGGGGAGTCGGGAAACCTGACCGCTAGAGCCAACTCTGCGGTTTCCCTAGGTAAATCATTTAACTTTGCCAGCAAAGTTCAGTTTAAGCTGTTGAATCCAGGGAATTGGCCAGGTTACCCTTTCAACTGTGGGAACACGAAGGTGAGTGATACCTTTGAAAGCTACTTCCTCAACGGTGCTACCAATTACCATCATTGCACTTAGCCTTCCCTCCGGAGAAAACCGTTTGAAAATTTAATTCCTAAGGCCAAAAACCCAGCCTGGAAGCTGGCAGCCGAGTGCACAGAAAGTGAAAGAGGTTCTAAAGTTACGGAAGAATGCATCCTTTTGCCTAAGAATTATACTCGGAAGAGGGAAAACTGTTTACAAACTTCTGAGCTCAGATGAATGAGTGTTGAGGAGAGGAAGCGGGAGCAGGAGCGTGTTTTCTTTGTCCTGGGCGAATCCGGCGACCCCTGGAAGTTCCCCCAAAGGCATGGGGTGGGCTCCAAAAGAGCTCCCGGGTCTCGGCCACCTTCTCCTCACCTGAGGCACGAATAATTCTCAGTTGGCTTCTAACTCGGGCCAGCGACGACCACTATGTTGCCAGAGAACATGAATCTGCCGCACGTCTAAGTCCCAACCTTGGGGGAAACTTGCAAGGACGGACAGATTGGCCCCACGTCCGCCCCAGCAACACAAAACCGTCTGCCTTTCGTTCCGCTGTTTCCAGGACCCAGCTGACAAAGGGTGCTGCGGGCATGGGGGTTTCAAATAGTGTTCCTGGAAGGGGCAGGAATAAGAACCTACTACTGCCAGGTTTAAATTTACGTTTACGTGTTTTGTTTTGTTTTTTAATGTCTGAGGCAAGTTTAAATTTAACTTTCCATTTTATCCTTAATCTCCACTCTGTTTGGTTTATTATGAAGCTATGTTAAATTTCTGTGTTCTTTATAACACAGCCATTAGTCATACTCCAATTTCTAACAAAAGGTGGGAATTTGTCTCCTTCAGCACTACATGTTTTTAAGATTTTGGTTATTTTTCCTTCATTTCGTTCCAAAATACACCAGTCTCTTATACTTTCTGCTATACTCCTTAATGTTTCGCCAAACTAAACAGAAGCCAGCTGGCACAGTGATGGCATTGATTGTAACATTAAAGTTTCTTTGCTTTAACTATACTATTAAGAATATGGACCTCATCATCTGAACGTGCTAAAGGGCAAGTGTAAGACAGAATTTAAAGTTAAATGTAAAATAAGCACCTACATTAGGTGTGGAAACACCTGTTGCCAAGCCTTACAATGTGGGTGTCAAAAAAGATGATATCTAAAACACTTCTTATTCACCAAAAATCAATGCAATTTTACAAGAAATTGGCTTTTAAAAAATGCCTATTTTCAGAATAGATTAAGAAAGCATCTTAATATCACTTAATTTAGAAAATATTTCTGAGACAAAGTCCTCAATTCTGAACTGGCTGGTTTGTACAGTTAATAATAAATAATTTAGGGATTTTATGAAAACTTCAGTTTTTTTTCTTCAGTAAAATAAATGGTGCCTACATCTCATGGACTGTTTTGAGAATTAAATGAAATAACATACATAAAGTTAACAAAATGCCTGGGACACCAATGGTAAAGTACTATAGAGTGAATGCATATTTGAAATAAAAAGGCTTCTCAATTTTATTACCAAACCCAGCACCATACAAATAACTATTCCATTAGCTAAGATACATGTAATATAGCCAGCAATTAGTGTCTTTATTGATGCTCTATCCAGAATTCAGAAACAATCATGTAACATGAATCAGATACAATACAGTGCTTCTGATTTTCTTCAATAGGAAATAAATGTCCATATTATGGAGGTTTTCATATATTATTTCACTTGTAATACTCTGCAATGTGTTGTGCCATCCTATTTATTATGGGGATAAGCTCCATATAAGAATATAAACTCCAAGAGGGCAGGGATTTTTACTTATGCTATTATGTCCCTAAAGTCTACAATCAGAAATTGCTTAATGGATACAATAATGTTAATATAAAGAATAACAATGACATTCAGATCACACTATTAAAAATATCCTGACAAAGATGGCTTAGCAAGCATATTTCCCATTTTTTTCTGGTATTTTTTTCTTATTAAAGCATACATTCTGAAATAATATCTACAATCTAAGACTTACAAAACCACTGCATCCAATAATGAACTAGGACAATAAATTTAAATGAATTTATTTTGTAAAGTCATCATTAGAAAGAAATGTAAAAACAACAAAACACCAAAGTTTCAGTCAGCAATAAAGGGAGTAGGCCTGGGAGTCCTGAGAAATGAAGACTGGGGCCTCAAACCAAAAGCCCTGGACTTTCAATTAATTGAAACACTGACCCCAGTTCGATCCAGTGAAAGTGGCTAAAAGGAACGGGTCCCTACACCTACCAGAGCATGGGACCCGCGCCTTGAAGGCCTCACTACTCAATAAAGAAAAGGAGAATATAAACATTCAGAACCCATTAACCCACACCCAACAGGCTCCACTTCTCCCACAAGCAGACGGCACAAGCCAACCCCTGCCCTCTCCCGTCTCACTCACACCCTGAACCCCGGGACCCGGCCATGCGCCCGCGGGTCTGGAGGTGGCCTGATGATCCCAGGTGTCTACCTCCCACCGGCAGCTGAGGTCTAGCCCCGCCCACCTCGGCCAATGCCTCCGGAAACAGCCGTGCGCGTTGCCCTGGCGACGCGCAGCAAGGCCGCTTCCACTGAACTGCGCGGCTGAGACTCCTGGCGCCAAGCGGCAGCGCGCCACGGCAACGTCCGACGTGATGGCGTAACGAAGTCGGCAGCCAATGAAACGAGGTGCTGAAAAAGCTGGCTTGGGTTTGAATCTTGTGGCTGAGTTTGAATCGTGGAGAGGCGGACGTCGTAGTGAAGTGTCGTGGTAATCTTTGCTGGACCTGAGGTGAGTGAGAGGCACGCGAGGAGAAACCTCTCGTCTCGAGACACTCCTTTTGATGACCCATCTCGGTGGAAGCGGAAGGCTCCTGGGGCTGCCTTTGGAGTAGATGGGCTTGATGACAAATGCGGAAGGGTTAAGTAGTGGGTGTGTGTGTGCGGGGGTGAGGGTAGTTAGGGTCCCTGGGGAGAAAGTGAAAGGAAGAAGGAACTCGAGAACCCGCTAGAGCATAACTCTGCCTGATCAGGAGCCCTTGACTGCTCATCAGGAAGGGCAGAAATCTACTGCCTTAAATTCTGAGAAAGGCGGAAGTTTTAAAAGGCATCCTGGCCCCTTTCCCAGACTGGCAGAGCACTTTCATTGCCCTGCACCTTACAGTGTCTAAAGTTCATTCCGCACTCCTAATTCAGAGTGTTTTGTTTCAGATACAGATGTAAATGTAGCTCTGGGCTTAACTATCAAATAAGGAGTTTTGGTTCTCCAACTTAAAAACTTTTTGTCCTGCAAGGTTCTGCTGTGAGCCTGGCAAAGGTCAGTCGGGAACCTCCTCTGAGTCCCAGTTGTAGCATCAAGACAAGACTTGCCAGCACTGCCTAGCGGGATTGCCAAGAATGGTATGGAAGCGATACTGCTTGGCAAAATGCTTTGCGAATGAAAGGTCCTCTTGAACCTTGAGAATAAGTCCTTCTACTGTTCTTAGTTTCTTCAAGACTCTTTTAGGAGCTCATTAGGCACTCAGTTACAGTTACTTCTGTTCATGAAAAGAAGTTATTTGACCGGAATTGAATAATTTTGTTGTATAATACATAGTTTAGGTTAAAAAAAAAAAAACTATTAACTATCAAGTAGAATGTATTAAGCATTCTACAGGTTTTAGTTGGTAGTTGTTATTCCACCAGCTTCAGCACTCCGCCTTGGATTTTGGAAAGTATTTATGAACTTTGGTGCTAGAGAATATAAGAACCAAAGGCAAGATAGCGTTTGTTACTAAGTTTCTATTACCTTGTAAGAATTGTCTGTTTCAGTAAACAAAGATTATCTTGCCTTTAACAGTAATAAATTAATCTCTTCTGTTACTGAACAAGTATTTGAAATACATAAAATTTTCACTTTAAAAGTGCATCTTGTCAAAGTGCATTGATACCTTGAATCGATTAAGGTACACAACAAAATCACGTTTATGCTGTCAACTCTATGAAATGTAGGAGGAAAAAAATAGCCCAGATGTTAGTGCCGCCCTTCACTCCATTTGAAATTTCTTTCTTACATGATGTTTTTAACTAGTAGAAGCACTGGCTCTAACACTAAAGTTAGTTCCAAGGACAGGTGTAAGTTGCATAGAGACTATAAAAGATAGTATATGGAGGATAGTTCCTGCTCCTAGAAAGTGTTTGTTGAACCTGAATCTAATTCAGATTTAAGCTTGAATTTAAGAAATAATTCAGAATTATATGACTCCACATTCAAAATAATTCGTGCAGCATTTCTGTTCCTTTGTTTGAAAATATTCTGTTCTTATTCCAGTGGAGCATTGTTGTTAGGGAACATGGGCTTTGGATCTGGCCTGAGTCTACATTCTGGCTCCTCACTTACTAGTTATGTCATCTTGGAAAAATTACTTATCTTAAACTAACTTTCTGTTTTTGTAAAATGGAGACTATTATAGAATATACCTTATATGATTATTTAAGGATTGAATGAGATGATGAATGTTAACTGGTTTTGTTTTGTTTTTTTTAAAGATTTTATTTATTTGACAGAGACATAGTGAGAGAAGGATCACAAGCAGGGGGAGTGGGAGAGGGAGAAAGAGGCTTCCTGCTGAGCAGGGAGCCCAATGTGGGCTCGATCCCAGGACCCTGGGATCATGACCCAAGCCGAAGGCAGACGCTTAATGACTGAGCCACCCAGGCGCCTCAAAATGTTTACCATAATGTCTGATATACAGAGCATGCTCAAATGATAATCATTGTTGTTCATTAGTAGTAGTTATGACCTTATTGACCTAATTTAAGAGTTCTCAATTAATAGTGTATTTGCTAAGAATAGATAACTGTTTGATATCCCACAAGCAGAGAGAATCATACTTTCAGTTTTATTTCAATATTCATTCATGAGCTCCTTTCCTGGGCCCTGAAGTTTTTATCAAAAATAGGCAAATATATATTTTTAACTTCTATGAGAAAATTTCTGGAGACTATATATTTACAAGCAAAAGAATAGTGATTTAAATACTTCAGCTTTACATCCAGTTAGTCTGAGTTCAAATCCCATGTCTTGTGCTTCCAATAGTGTGACTTTAGCCAATTAACTTAATCTATATTATAGTTATCCCTCTGTAAAATAGAAATGATTATAAATACCTATATCATAGGATTGTTTTGGGGATTAAATAAGAAGTATGTAAATTGCTTAGCAATTTCTATTTGTATACTAAGTGTTCATTAGAAAGTATTCTATAAATACAACATTATTAAATGAAGGATTGTACTTACGGTAAATTTTAATACTTTTTTGTTTTGTTTTGTTTTTGAAAGGAAAATAACTAGTCTTGTTTAAAATCCAAATGATACAAAAAGATATACAGTAGAAAGTAAGCCTGCCTGTCACCCATACCTTCATATTTCCCCACCATGGGGCAACTGATGCTATCAATTCTTGTGTTCTTTTCCTAAAAGAGCCCATACATATAAAAATATGTATGTCTTTTAAAAATACAAATGGTTATATGCCAAGTCTGCTATTTTACACTTGTTTTGCACATGTATCTTGAAAACCTGCATTAGTTCATTCATTCATTTATTGAACAAGTATGT